TCAGGGAAGGCTATACAGTGTTACTGAGTTTGGATTTTTTTTCCTGTAAGCAAACGGGAATTTATTAATAGATTTTAAACAGCTCATTATGGTGATATTTTTATAAAAAAAAAAAGGACTGAGAGTTCTATAATGAAGGCAGGAATGGTAATAAGACATTGTTGCAGGAAGTCTAAACAAGGGATGCTAAGGGACAGAACAAGAATTGCTAAGGAGAAAGAACAGGCAGGACTTGGTGATTGGCCAAATACAAGAGAAGAATATAGGCCAGCTTTTAGGTTCTTGATGTGGGTGGCTAGATATGGCTATTCTTTGAAAGGAGGAGAAACAGGAGATGATGCAAGTTCACCTAAAAGAAGTTCCATTTGGACATGTTGTGGTCCATACGGGTATGGGATGTCCCAGAGAAGATGTTCTCTTACAGGCAGTTGGGAAAATAAATTCAGAGTTTAGGAGAAAAGTCTGGTCAGTAATACAGGTGTGGGAGGCATTAACATGCAATTAGTTTGTACGAATTGTATGGTTTTTACTTTGGCTATCCCCTCTTTCTCTGACTTAATGGTGTACCTTAGTCAAGACTTACTCATCCAGAAACCACATTCCTCATTTTGACCTCAATGCATCAATGCCCAGTCATGGTTTATGGATACCAAACAACAATTCACAAACATTCTTCATCATTCTTGCTCTCTGCCTGCCCTTCACCGCAAGCTACTTACTGTAGACTTTTCAAGTGCTAAGCTATTAAATACACTTCATTCATAATCTCTGTGGCAATCCTATCAGTTGGCTGAACTCTTCATTTTGTAAATGGGAAATAACAAGAGGTCCTGTAGCTGACCCAAAGTCCTGGCCAATGGTGTCAGAACTGGATTTGAACCAGTTCTCCCTGAATCTGTGGGGCTTGCTTTTCCCTACCAGCTGGGTTACCTCCGAGTGCCTGTGGCTGCCAGTCGTCTGTTCTGTCTTAAACACAATGATTCTTTTTCTTTGACATATAAAAGACATCTTTTGTAAAGGTCTAGAAGTGTGTACACAAAGCATTAATAGTGATTATCTCTGCATGGTGGAATTACGACTGATTTTTGTTTTCTTTTGCATACTTTGTATTTCCTGAATTTTATGAAATGACTGTTTATTACTTGTTATAACTAGAAACATAATGGCACTCTTTCTAAAGAAGCAATGTTTTTTCCTCCATCCACAGTATTACAGGTAGGCATTTAATGCAACTTAACCATTGCTTCCCACCCTCCCCCATCACATTAATGCAAATCCTTAAAAGCAGCATTATTGATGCTTATTTTGTTTACTCATGGTCTTAACCAAAAGGATGAGAAGTGATGATTTTTTGCTTAAAGCTCACAGAAAGTCTGCCCTGTAGGAGGAGATGCATAAAGTCGTTTTAGTCCCAGGAAGGGTGGGTTTTCTTTTTGCCCCATCTCCCTACTTAGTTGAACTGTTGAGTACAAACGATGCATAAAAGGGGAATGGGAACCTCTGATATACCAAAAAGCACTGAAGATTTGGGGAAATTATTTTTAAGCAGAAGAGGGGAGAAATGAGAAGGTTGGGATGTACACAGACGTGCCAGTTCAGGTCCCTTTTACTATTCAGTTGGCCATGGAACTGGTGAGGATAGCCCTCTCGGTTCTCCACTGCTAAAGTGGAAACGCTGCATTAGGTTGGGTTTGGAGGTTATACACAATTATATCCTTAAAAAATGAAAATATTTGGGGATTATAGAAGAAGATGTTAAATAATTCCCTTCAAAAGAAGCACAGCAGAGAAGCACAGTTTTTAAATGCCTATCCAAATAAATTAATTCTTTGGTTTTTTAAACTTCTGAATTGAATGACTTTTAAGTTGGAGGCTTAAAAGACATCATTATCTCCACTGAAAGATTAAAAAGATGCTTAACAAATAATATTTGGTTATGATTGTATAATCCAATCTAGACTCTAGTTGTGCACATAGTTTTTGGCAGGAGAACAAGCCAGAAAGAAAGATTTTCCCCAGCTCAGGGCCCATCCACCTCTTACTTTGCAGTGTGCAGTGGTTCCAGCTTTAGTGCATGCTCACCTCTGCATGCAGTGCCGCTGGACACTGCATCAGGACCCTGGTCACCCTTGAAGCACGGGCCTGGAATACTTGAAAGGCACTGGATGCCTTCAAGCTTCTGGGGGACCGTGGAGTAATTTAGTGGGGTGTCAAAATGGTATCTAGGGTACTGTAGCAGTTAAAATTGCTTGTCGGAGGTACTTGCTAGAAATAACTTATCTTGAGGAGATGGTCCCTTGGTTTTCAGTGGAAGCACCATGTGTAAGGGTTACACGTTTTTTCTTGCCACGGTACTTTACCAAGCCTAAGAAGCAAGATGTAGAGAACAAGTCTAAATATCATAGATAAATTGGTGCTGTAGTCAAACTGTTCAGTATTCTTTTGATAAAACCTTCAGAACGAGAAGCCAGAATATTTTGACTGAATGGCTGTGAGTAGGCCTTCTAACATGTGAACTCTAATGGATTCTATTGGTCATGTGTGGTAAACTTCATTTTAAAGATAAGCATTTATTCTTTTTTCAATTGTGTGGGAAAATAGAGATACTAAGAACCAGAATCTTTTTTTTTTTCTTTTGAGAGGTTTTTGCTAGAGGGCATGTGCACTCGCCAGAAAGAGAGAGACAGAGAGACAGAAAGTGAGAAATTATCCCCCAGGGGGATGGCTGCACCACAATCCCTTCTCCTTCATTCTCTTCTTGGGATCTTGTGGGAAAATAGAGCTACTAAGAACCAGAATCTTTTTTTTTTTTCTTTTGAGAGGTTTTTGCTAGAGGGCATGTGCACTCGCCAGAAAGAGAGAGACAGAGAGACAGAAAGTGAGAAATTATCCCCCAGGGGGATAGTTGCACCACAGTCCCTTCTCCTTCATTCTCTTCTTGGGATCTTGGTATGCATGCACACGTGCCCAGCATGAGTTTAAGCCACCTGGTCCAGGACTCAAACCGCAGTTGACTACATGGGAGTTGAGCAACATAGCCATTACGCCAACTGCTGGTACCTAAGAGCCAGAATCTTATGGCTTATTTCTAAAGACTTGTAGCTTGACTTTTTCGAGGGGTAGAATTACAGTGTCATCTCTTACCAAAAGAAATGGAATCTAAAGCAGAGATATTTGATCAGGTAGCCACAGTGATGATGTAGCTGATGCTCTGAGACTATTCCCATTTTTAAATTATATACTTTATTTTTTAGAACAGCACTATCCAATAGAAATATCATGGAGACCACATATGTGGTTTAACGTTTTCTAGTAGCTATATTTTAAAAAGTAAAAATTTAAGTGAAATTAATTAAATTATTTAACTCAATATACTAAAGGGCTATTATTTCTATATTTAATCAATATACAGTTATTGAGACATTTTTATATATTGTATTTGTCTTACTCCCTTGTACTTGATGTGTATTTTGTATTTATGGCACATCTGAGTTCAGACTGGTCACATTTCAAATGCATAGTAGCCACATGCGTGTACCATGTTGGGCAGCATAGATTCAGAACATAATCATTTAAACTCTCAACTATTGTAGAAGTAACTAGGAAAAAGAGAAAGCATGTTGAAAACTACTATTGTAGGTCAACAGAGTAAAACAGCAGTCAGATGGCACTCTGCATTCCATACTTTATTAAAAAATATTGCTCATGTAACAATACTTATACATTACAAATGAGACAAATGAGAGAACAGTAGGATACAACCTGCTCTCCTCTGTGAATCAGGTAAGTTTTTCTTTTTTTTTTTTTTTGAGGGGTTTTTGCTATAGGACGTGTGTGCTCACCAGACAGAGAGAGACAGAGAGACACCCCCTCAGGGGGTTGGCCACATCGCAATCCCTTCTCCTCCGTTCTCCTCTTGGGATTTTGGGCATGCACACACATGCGCCTGGCATGAGTTTAAGCCACTGGGTCTGGGTCTCGAACCGTGGCCAACTACACAGGAGTCCAGCGACATAGCAATTATGCTAACTGCTGGTCCCTTTCTTTTTTTTTTTTTTTTTTTTTTTTTCTTTTTTCTTTCTTTCTTTTTTTTTTTTTTGGAAGGTTTTTGCTATAGGGCACGTGCACTCTCCAGAGAGACAGAGAGACAGGGAGACAGAAAGCATCCCACCACGTCCTGGAGGGAAGGAATCAGTAAGTTTTCAGTTGACAAGTTTTCAGGGCCTACTCTGATTCTCTCAGGGTTACAGTGACAGAAATCCCATGGAAGTTGTGACTGTCTGGAGACATTAATGTAGAGCCTGCTATGGGTTTGAGAGCTTGTAGAGACAGATAAAATCTCCCCAAATTCTGAAAATGTGGTAAAGGAAGATACTGGTCTAATGGTTGAGACTAAGAACAACAAAATAATTATAAATAATCTATTTTCAGTGTATTCAACATAGAATTATTCAGTATAAGAGTCTTTCCTGTGAGATGTCATGAGACCTTACATGGAAAAATCTGTTTTAATTCCATTAAGTCAAGATGGGGTTGTTTTTACTTAGTTTGCAGTTTGGAAAAGAGTCGAGTCAGTCTACCTCGATATAGTTTATGTCATCTGATTATGAATTCCAGTTTACCTGCCCTTAGATTATCTTTAGCAGGAACGAGAGAGCTGTAAATATGGTAAGGGTAGAAAAGTCACTTGTCTGGATTGGTAAATACTTCTAAAAATTGGCCAAGCAATATTTCAGCCAAGTGAAACAGAACCTTCTTTCAGTCCCTCGGTTAAGATGTCTGTAAGTATATATGGGTTTTTAGAGAAGTAAAGTGAAGAAAAATGATGAATTCCAGAACAGAAGTTCTTTGCCTGGAGCCTTATCATTTAATTTTTTTTTCAATATTAATAGTTCCATTTCTCCCACCCCTTTTATGAAAACTTTAGTGAGTTGGTCTGAATTTTTTGCTGGTCCTTTCTTGGATTGATTTCTAAGAGATTTTTTTTTTTTCCCACCCAGGAATTAAATAGCTTTAATTACTTGGATCTGTACAGACTTGCTGACCTCTTTAACCTCACTTTGTTGGAGAAGGCAGTGATTGATTTCTTAGTGAAACATCTCTCTGAACTCCTCAAGAGCCGCCCAGAAGATGTTCTAACACTTCCTTACTGCCTGCTTCAGGAAGTCCTAAAGAGTGACCGCCTGACTTCCCTGAGTGAAGAGCAAATCTGGCAGGTAAGGGCTCTCTGCACAGGTCCTCTTCTGGTGCTGAGAAGGCCTGACACGATGAGAAGGTAAAGGATTGAAGAACAGTGACCACTATTTCATCTGGTTTGGTCCTCACCAGGGATGATGTTTTAGAAGTCATGGTCCCTTGATGTGCAAGTGATTGGAGAACTCCAGCCCCTGGGACTCAGAGGCCCCAGCTGACCAGGTAGCTTAATTTAGGGAATAACAGGTGAGATACTGCAGACCTTAAAAACCTATGGCTTCCTGAAACTCTAATATGGTCATATCAGAAAGAGTTGGGATTTTTGTGTGTGTCTGTGTGTGTGTGTGTGTGTGATAAAAAATGTTTCTTAAACTGCATATGAAAAGAATGGATTGAAAAGTGATATTTATGCATATTTAAGGCCAGTGAAGTCATAATAAATTCTGTGCTTTCCTGTAAACAATTCAGAAACATTTCCTTGCTGTAATGGAGAACAGCTTGGACCAAATGAAATGAAGCTCTTCTTGCACTGCAGGGAAAAATCTCCCTCCTTAGTCTTAGTTCATTCTGCATTCATTGTTATTTTCCGAAGCTCTGCCTTTTCGCCTGACATAGCATTCTTTTCACATTGTGTCACTCCTTTGTCTGGGGAGCGGCAGGATGTTTTATGTTTTGAAGTTGATTATTCAATTTAAATCCTCTTCTGCTCATCCCCAGTGACTATCCTTGAACAGTCCACATGGTGTCTTTGGGAAATAGTCAGAGCCTATCTTCCTCTTCCTTGTACACTCTGTCTCACTCGCTGAAGCACTGGCTTGCCATTTTGTTACTTCTGGGGCACCATGCCTTCAAAATTTCATGGTCATTTGGAAAATAGTCACAGACACAATGCAAGAGGAAATTTCAGATCTTCTGTTAGTTGGTGAAGCAGTGAACTCCTGAAATCTTACCAAATAATATTCAAAAAGGACTTTAATTACGACCAAAGCAAAGTCATAGGTAGCTGTCTGTTACCCAGCATCTGACTACTGATTAGTGATTTTCCTGATGCCTTTATCCCTTCTTTCTTTTGTATCACTTAAATCAGCACCTTTTCTCTATTATTGCTTCCACCAGAGAGGGTCCCAGACTCTGTAAACTTATTGACTTATCAGCACAACAGGCTTGAAGAATGGCTTTTACCATCCCCATGTCCAGATGAACAAAATGAGGCTTCAGCGCCTTGCTCAGGGTTATAGAACAGAGCCGGCATTTAAACCTAAGTCTGCTGACACCTGATTCCAGCTCTTTATTCCACTCTTTCACTCTGTTTTTACCAAAAACTTTTTAAAAGTCCAAAAAAAAAGAAAGAAAGAAAAACTATCATAAACACTTGCTATTTCTTGAGTATTTCTGGTAATATTGATTCAGGCAGGTGTTAAAAGAGATGGGAAGGATGTGATTCTGGTAGAGACTTTAGTGAATGGCGACTATCTTCTATAAACAAAAATATCAGAATTTACTTTGGTCCATTCGAAGTACAAAGTAGTCAGATTTTCTTTACTTCCTCAGGGAAAAAGAAAGAATGGAATTCTGCATTTAGTTTCTTTCTCACTGAATTGAGATCCGAGGCCAACCATTTCGTGGCTTCTGTCTCTTTTTGTGGCATGGTTGAAAGTACTGCCAGAGATCTGATACGATAATGTGCAGATGTCTGAGTGTCAAGAAAATTCCATACTGTCCATTTACGAGTTACCATAATTGCTTCTCTAAAGGTTACTAACAGTATAATGTAGAATTTTAAAAACTAGTTTCTGCTGCAGGCAAAACAGTTTTTATACCTGCCCCTCAAGAAGGAATTAAGAGACTCCCGTAAATATTATCAATGTAGGCATTCAGCAGGCAAAAAGAAACTGTTTTTACTTTATTTTAGTAAATAACTAATTCTCTCATACTCAGCCCAATAGAGAAGAATCAAATCAGACCAGCTATATTGCCTCAAGTATAGTTAAGTTCATCATTTTTTGCTGAGGTTATACTAGTAATGCAATATACCGGGGAAGAATCTAATATTCATCCCAGGGTGAAGATTGGGTATGCCAGAGGATTAGTGTCAGGGTGCTTTATAGAAGTGAAACTTGATGGACAGGCTAGAGACAGATCTACAGAATCTCATTAAATTGCTGAATTGTTCATTACAGAACGTTCTCGCTGTAATAAAGTGCTCATTGACTTTGACAAATCTCCATCCCATGTCTCAAAGAAGAACAGTGAAGCCAGGAGTGTTGGGGAGAGAAAGGAAATTGGCACAAAGTAGGACGGGTAGTAGAAAAATGGGTGCGGGATAGTACTATTTGGCTAATATGTGTAACTGGTAAACATATACGCATTTACATAGGTGGCTCATTCACTAGGCTGATAACGTAATCTGGAGCCATCACCATCTCATTTTTGGTGAAAAGTTTAATTTTCATTATTCACAGGGCTTCATGCAGTCTGACTCGAAGGACTTGTCACAAGAACCTTCAAATTATCCTCACTGAGCAAATTCTCTTTTCACTTTTTTCTCCTGTCCCTTCCCCAGTCCCTTTTCTTGATAAAATGTGCTGCAGGCCACAATAACCATTCTGTGGAACTGTGAACCTGTGAAATCCCCCACGATTATGCCTTATAACTGCCCTCCCCTTTTTTTTCCCATCTGACCTTTTTAAACTTATTTTAAGTCTCTTCTCTCACAGAGAGTTTCTTGGTCCCTCCTAGATATGTTTTTTATCCCTTCCATAGCCTGAAACTACTTGGTCTGTTGGCTAAAGTTCACTATATATTCAGCAGTAACTTAGAGATTTGTACCACATACACACTTTAGATGTTGAGGGACACAGAAACCCCCTTAAATTATATCATTTTTTTAAAAATTCAGCTCAACGATTTGGCTTTATGTTTCGATGCCAACGATTTTTTAGGCTCCAGATGAAAGACACCAAACTTGTTGCTGAGATCAAAGAAAGAGACTAAAAACTGAGTAAAGTGGCTGGAGAGGAAATAAGGGGCATGAGGTCACTCATATTCGTGACCTGGCAAATCTCCACCAGTTTTATTCTGCTTTCGTGTTTTAGCTCTAACTCAGAACCTCATTTCAATAGGATCTTATTAAATATCTTTTATTATATTCAACATTCAGTGTCACACTGCTGAACTGGGACCTGCCATTAGGATGGGGAGTTGGGGGAAATGGGGAGATGCTAGTTCAAGAATACAAAACCTTTATTGGGTCATCAGGAAAGTCATACAGAGTATCTTTCTGTGCAAAAATACATCATGACTTTTTCGATGATTCAATAGTTATAAGATGAATGAGTTCTGGGGATCTAATGTGCAGCATAGGTGGTGATGTGTTAACTAATTAATTTGACAATGATAGGACCTGCCCTTTCTGGTGGTTAAGGGAGCTGCATCCCATATGGCTGACCAAGCCATATGGTTCCAATCTCAGCCCCAGCAGCTTGAAAAACAGGCCAGGTACTTGTGTGTGCATGTCCAAAATACAAGGTGGAGAGATGGAGGAGAAGAGGTTGCAGCATGACCACACTTCACTGGGGCATTCTTTTCTCTTTTCCCTCTCTCTGTTTCTGTGTCTCTCTGGTAAGCACTCACCTTTTGACAAGTTAAAAAAAAATTAACTATAGTAATCATTAATCAATGCACATGTATATTAAGTTATCATGTTTACACCTCAAATATGTACAACCCTTATTTGTCAACTGAGTATTTTAAAATAAATAAATAAGCCAAAACATGGTATCTCTTCATAAAAAATAAAATAGAGATTGAATAAAATAATGAGATAATTTCATACTATTCCTATGCAAGTCCTAGTAATCTGTTTTCATTTCAGGAAAGTACATTTCTTACCTCTTCTACCTTAGTTCCCTTTCATTACTAAGAAAATGATTACTATCTTCCATGGGAGTACAGTTTATAGAAGCCATCTGAATAGAACATATATTTTTCCACACACTATTATAAGGAGAAGGCAGACTCTCTATCCATCAGTATTTGTTGAACACCTAAATGCCCAAAAACATGCTAGAATGGAAGGCAGGTTTGCTAACTCCATTTCCCTTTTCCAGGCCTCACTCCAAAAGGGAGGAATCCTTGTGATTTTAAACCATTAATCCAGCTCTTTGAATTACTACTTCATTTCCAAAGTCACAGAATTAAGAACAATATTTAAAAATCAATAAAGATATTCTGTGGAAATAAAAACAAATACTTCTTGAGCACCTGTGATACACTAGACTTTGTTGGAAGCTAGATCCTGGAATAAAAAACTTTGCAAAAACATCCAATTATTAGATTTATTTCATCTTTGTCTCTGAATGTGAAGTCTTATTTTCCTTTAATTTTTAATTTGTTGACTGTTTTCTACTTTTAGGAAGGGCTTATTATTTTGTAAGGACAATACTTTGGTTCCCTGATTATCCTGGGGTTCCTGGCAATGCTTTTCTTCCTGTATTAACCTTGGGTTTGAGGGTACCTCCTACTTAGACTAGACTTAAATGGATACTAAGACCAAACAATTTAATGGTCAAACAAGGTCAGATCTTGGCGGGAAGAGTCCCCTCTGTCCTATGTATGTCCTATTTAGTAATGGCAAAGAGGGAACATATCACCTGGCTTGGGCTGGGAGTGGGGCTCATCCTATTTACATTTTGTCTTTGATTATACATTCCCAGAGGCCAAGGCTGTCCCTGTGATTTTGCATTGTACACTGCCATGTTGTTTCCTTGCACTCTATAAATAATAAATTAAAACAATCAAGGGGAGTTTTCATATTAAAATGTACTGAATGGGTAATAGAGCATTTTACTATTCCTACATAAATCTGGATTTATTCTAATAAATTAGTATACAAAAGAGTTTTGGTCTTTTAAAGACTGCGTTTTCCTTACATTTTTATTGGAAATGTGTTTCCACAGTCATACCGTTAATATGTTGTCACTTTCTATCTTTAGAGGTGCAAGTCACATGTTATTTAGAATAG